CCGCCGCCCTCCCCGCCGCACGCGCGCGGCCGCGGGGAGTGCTCTCCGCCGCCGGGCTTCGGCCCGGGGCTGCGTGCTGCGCCGCGGCCGCCGCCGCGCGGCGGCGGCGCGGTGGGGGGCGGGCTGGATCAATTGGACAACGAGGAGACGCGGGCCATGTTGACCGAGGTCAAACTACTGCAAGCCGCCACCAAGCGCCTGGTGTCTTGGTTAGCAGACCGATACGGCGCGCCCCCCAGCGTCGCCGCGGGCGCCGCCGCGCCGCTGGCGGCCGCCGCGCGCATACGAGCCGCGCACCTGTGCACGTCGGCGGTCGAGGCCGCGCGCGGCGGCGGCGGCGCGGGCGCCGCGCGGCTCGGGCGGAGGGACGTCGAGCGGCTGCACCGGAAGCTCAAGGTGGCCTGGCTGTTCGGCCAGGCGGCGCGCGTGTCCGAGGTTGAGGGGGCGCTAACCTCGGACAGCACCGAGCAGCAGCGCCACGCGGCGCTGGTGGAGGCGACGATCGCCGAGAGGGGCGTCAGGGCGGCGTACGCGCTGCAGGCGCGCGGCGAGCGCCTGCGGGACGCGGCAGCGTCGAGGCAGCTCCGGCGGCGCGGCGGCGCGGGTGCGGCGGAGGCCGGCGGCGGCGCCGGCAGCGGCCGCAGCAGGTCCACGACGATTGAGATCAGTGGAGGTTATGAGCAGCTGGCGGCGCTTACGGCGGCACTCGCCCGTGCGTCCGGCGCCCTCGCCGCCGGCGCGTCGGACGGCGGCGGTGGCGGCATCGGCGGCGGCATCGGCGGGGCGGCGGCGGGGCCCGGGGGTGCGTCAGTTGAGGGAGTGCTGCGGCTGCGGGGCGGCAGCCGGTCGGCCGCGGGCAGCGTCGGCGGCAGCGCGGAGGGCGGCAGCGATTCGGGGGAGGAGGGGGGCGGCGAAGAGGCGCGGCGCCGGCAGCAGCAGCGGCAGCGGGAGCAGCAGCAGGAGCAACAGCAGGAGCAGCAGCAGGAGCAGCAGCGGGAGCAGGAAGAGGAGGGGTCTGCCCGTGGCGGGACAGGGGTCACCGCCAATGGGCAGCACAGAGGCTTGGGAGGCGGCAGCGGCGTGGAC